CCTACAGGCTGCACGGAAAGGGTTCAGCCAAGGAAATACTGGCAGCAATCTATTTGTTCGGTTTGCAACTCTGATTGATCACTTAATTAAGTTGTGCTTCCATCCTGGTCAGTCAAAGGCAAAAGCAAGTAATATCTCAATGGAATTTAGTGCCTTAAAAGAGGATGATGCCACTGGGAATTATCATGCCAATTCAGCAGTCTCTAATTATTAGCCTACCAACATATGATGGGAAGCTCAGTGACTCACTTAGATATGATATTTTTTCGGCAATTGATCTTCCTACAATATCAGGAATCGGTGATGAGGCTGAGATTCTTTCATCTCTTCAACGGCCTAAAAAGGTAGGTTCTATATCTTAACATACTTGTAACTCAATTGATTAATCTGTGGTATGCCATAGCAGCGAATATATTGAAAAGGCATCATACGACCAAATTTCTTATGCATGCTGGTTTGTCCTCCTAATGCTTATGAATTGATTTTTAAAGTTACGAAATAGCAGAACAAACCCTCCCACCCGCTTTTTTCAAACTTAATAAAAAGTTATAATCGCCAATCACCATCTGGAAATCATTTCTAAATTACATGCCGAGTCCAATAATGACCGGATAGATTTCTAAGATAACTTGTGGTAAAGAGCAAAAACTGTGGATTTGGAGAAGATTTTCGGAGAGTTATCTGAGTTTTTCCTATTGTCACTTGGGCATGTCCTGTGAACTGGCTATTTTTTATGTCATCACATCATCTTTGTAATATTTAATCATCCTCTTTTGCATTTCAGATTGTTTTATTAGGCAGTGATGGCATTGAACGCCCACTCCTCTACAATCCCAAGGATGATTGATAAGCTCATATTTATATATATTTTATATCAAATTCACTTGTCTTTTCTTAGTTAGTTCCTTATATTTTTGAGTTATTTACCTTGTTTTTGTGTTTTGTAGGATTTGTCAAGTAAAGAAAAGAAAAATAACACAAGTGGAATGTTAAGTAATAAATTCGTCAAAACTGCCTGTGCAGGTCAGCTGACTTTGGAAGCAAGTTGCGGACAGCTCAGAATGAATTAGAGAATGAGCCTTATATGCTTGGAAAGCTACGGATGTCTATTTTCTGGAGCATTTTACGGATTGTTAATATCATTTTTCTAGAAAAAGTTATGGCCGTTCAAACACTGAAAGGTTCCCAGGAGGCTGAGCAGTTTGTAACTGACAAGAAAGCATTGAAAGCAATAAATCCCATAAAACTAACAGCCAAAACTGATGCAGCCAAGAATAAGCCAGCTAACACCTATTCAAATATCAGAGGAAATGAAAAATTAAGTAAGAGTAATGGGCATAAAGGCTGCCCAAAGAGTTACAATTGTTTTAGCATTTCCTCCCACTTATTGTAATCACTAAATGGCTGTTAGTGGGGGGAGTTATGGAGAAAAAACTGTGGCAGCAGAAAAGAAGAAAAGACCTACAAGTTGCAGCAACAAAGGGGGAGAAAAAGTGTGAAAAAAAGAGAGAAAAAAAAAAAAAAGAAGCAAAGCAAGGGAAAAAGGCAAGGCTGCTGCGTTGGGGAAGGAAGGAAAGGAAGGAGGAAATCTTGGCATTCTCTTCTCTCGGTTTTATCTTCTCAACTCATGTCTTTCTTTTGGTTTAATTTGAGAATTATGTGTAACTAATTTTTAGTAGTTAGGGGCTGTTTTGAAGCCCCGAATATGATTGCAAGTTTGTTATGACATTTCGTTTGAATTACTTTTACGAATGGATGAAAATTGGTTCACTACTTGTCTCATTGATGAATTCTTTTTGTGTTTTCTATGGATGCATACTTGGTAAACATATCTAGGATTCTAATGCTATGAATATGTGTGTGCCTGCCCTTGTCGAATGAGGACCTACATATGTTCTAGAGTAGTACTTGTTAATTGCGATTAACATGTGAATCAATTTCTAGGATAAGTAAGACAACGCTAGTACTTACGATGCCTTGTGATGACTCAAATTCTTTTCGTTCTTAATGATTTCTACTTGTTAAATCTATGAACACACCATTCGAGATTGCATGTTAGGGACTAAGTTAAGTTGAAAACGTCATTCTCTTAACATACTACATAAGAAAGAGTAATAGGTTGAGTTCTAACATTGAGCCAACTTGAGCATCTTCATCTAAAAATGAAAGGAATTTAAATGAAACATAACATGTTTGCATGATTATTTGGTGGTGGATGGCAATTCCCCTAACTCGTTTTTCTTAATTTGTGAACTACTTAAAAATCTGTCTCTGTCTTGTTTTTGTTCGATTTAATTTAAATATCAAATCAACTCCAAAAATCCCAAAAATTTGTATGAGTGTAGCTCTGTGTGTCTAGTATCTGCATATAAAATTTCGTAGACTTTAGATAAGTGTAAGTCAGTCTAATAATTATTTTTCGGTGGCTGGTCAGTAGGGACAGCAGCCCAGTTTTTGTGACATTTTAAGTAGTTAGATAAAACAATCTTCTGCGGGAAAGACTCTTATTTTCATATGCTACAATTGACAAATATTATTGTTAATAAGGAAAATTAATAGGACATTTGTGTGCTACTTTGTCGTGTGCTTTTAATCCTATCAATGACCTCAGGAAAGATGCCCGCATGATGGAGTTCACTGCAATGATAAACTGTTTGCTGTCTAAATACCCAGAAAGCCGTCTAAGGAAACTCTACATTCGCACCTTTGTGGTAATTCCTTTGACAGAGGAATGTGGCATGACAGAATGGGTGCCTCACACTTGTGGACTTCGGCATATACTTCAAGACATATATATTAACTGTGGAAATTTTGATAGGCAAAAGACAAATCCTTATATTAAACGGATTTATGACCAATGCCAAGGTAAAATACCAGAAGATGTGATGCTGAAGGACAAAATTCTTCCAATGTTCCCCCCAGTATTCCATAAATGGTTCTTGACCATTTTTTCTGAGCCAACTGCTTGGTATAGGGTTCGGATTGCTTATGCACACACCACTGCAGTTTTGTCGATGGTTGGCCATATTGTAGGGCTGGGTGATCGACATGGTGAAAACATTCTTTTTTATTCTACAACGGGAGACTCTGTTCATGTTGATTTCAGTTGCTTATTTGACAAAGGCTTGCAGTTGGAGAAGCCTGAGCTGGTGCCTTTCAGGCTGACTTAGGTGAGAGAAGCGTATGCATAAATGTTGTTTTCCTTGTGGCAAGTTTCTGATACTTTCTTCTTTTTTTTTTGGACCAAAAAGTAAGCATAACTATATTTAATTAGGCTGTTTATTTATTGGTTGATGAGTACCATCTGCGAGAAGAAAATAAAGAAGATATCTGTATCCGAAAATAAAAGAAGTCATTATGTGTTGATTATCAAAATTATCTAACATGACTAGAATATTTTAGTTTGAGCACAATAAATACTTCATCTACTAACGATTGTAATATAATCATTTCCAATCTTAATTGTTTCTTATTAATTTTCATGGCGACTGTTATGACACCTGCAGAATATGATTGATGGCTTGGGCGTCACTGGATATGAGGGAATCTTTTTGAGGGTCTGTGAAATCACAGTTTCAGTACTGAGGATGCATAGGGAGACTTTAATGAGCGTTGTTGAAACTTTCGTCCACGATCCTCTTGTGGAATGGACAAAATCTCACAAGTCCAGCGGAGTAGAAGTTCAGAATCCACATACACAGGTTTCAATCTTTCGTTATCTTCTATTGAAGTTGTTGTGACAGGTTTACCTTAACTGTCATATTTTCTTTTTAAATGTAAAGGTAGTAATGGCATTGATTTATCATTTCGTAATAGATCTAAGTTGGGATTTTCGCAAGGCCTACCATGTCGCAAGTTGACTAAAAAGCGTTTCTTAGATTAAATTGTCCCTAGAAGACAGAATAACCCTGTATCATTATTGCATTTACATTCTAGGTCCAGTGTAGTGTTTCTTAGTCTTTCATAAGCAATATCCACCTGATAGAATGGGAGCAAAGATTTTCTTTATGCAATGCCCATTGGTATTGATCTATAATCTGAAATTTAAAGTAATATCTAACTGATGAATGTGGAAATAGATTAATGGGTTGGGACTTGGGAGGGAGCAAGGAATTTTTTATGGTAGTGATGCTGTTCCATTGCACGTTTAAACTGAATTGATAAGTTTTGATGTCTTTTTTTTTTTTTTTTTTTTTTTTTTTAAGTTCAGAATTGCATTTGTGATCCATGTTTGTGAACACTAAATGGTGTTCTAATATCAACATTTCAGCGAGCAATCAGTAACATTGAGGCAAGGTTGCAAGGAGTAGTAGTTGGTGTCGGAGCGGCACCATCTTTGCCACTGGCTGTAGAAGGTCAGGCTCGTAGATTAATAGCTGAAGCAGTCGCCCCAAAAATCTTGGAAAGATGTATATCTGGTGGATGCCTTGGTTTTGAAGTGTAATTGATCAAGGGTTCTGATTTAGAGTTGAATCAACGAAGCGTTTGCGCTTCATGACAACCCTAGAGTTAGCCAACAGCAAAAGATTAAACAAAGAGTATTTGTTGGGGTGGTATTGTGGCTTTATGGTTCAGTAGATCCATCAAAAGAGGCCTCAATTGTACAATTTTTCCACTCGAACTGATGAATGTGCACTGTATCATACCCTTACCGTGACGGCTGACGGCTTGCTTGCTCAATGGCCATTTTGTGTGGTGGAGGGGTTAGGATTGGACAAGCATTAAGCACTCTCTGCATATGTGATGTTGTTTTGGAGATGTTGCCGATAATTTGTATACTTCATGCTTGTAACATGTTCCATTGTAAATGTACTTTCCTTCGATGGTATTTTTGGATGAAGCTGGAAATGCCAGTTTGCTATCCAATTTTTGTAGATGCAAACACGTAATTGACTGTAATTTCTAGAGTAAATATTTCTGTATCAAAAGCTTGATTAGATTTTCAACTGGATAAAAGCGTTTAGGGACCACTTGAAGTGCTTTTTTAGGAACCCCTTGGATTTGTTTTTAATGAAAGTACTTTTAGCAGCAGCACTTAGAAGTAAAAGTGTTATCCACAAAAGTAATCCTAAACGAGCCTTGGTGAAAACCTAACGCAAAAAAGCGCATTCTAGGCAATGTCAAGCATGCCGGGTTTATCACACAGTTCTATCTCAATCACTCGCAAATAACCAGTCCTTCACAGCTCTCCCCTTGGCAATGAAACAACCAACATTCTTCCTGTCGATTCTCATCGGACTTCCCATCCGATGCATCATCACCTTAACCAGACCTTTAACCGGCGACTCCCCTCTAACACTGCTATGCTTCCCCAACCCGCAAACGATGACAACCTCTGCCGGGATCACACATTCCCCACAGTTAAACCTGTGTCTCATTCCCTCAAACCACTCTAACATTATCAAGTAAGCCGAACCCAAATGCAAACCATGCAAATCCAACTTAGCCTCCAAAGACTCCCACACCATCACCTCCTCCAAAACCGTTGATCCAACCAACTCTTTAACCACCAAACCCTCATCACCATTCAAAACCCCATTGAGTTCTTCAATCGAACACGGAACATCCTTCGGATCTTGCAGCATTGCCATGATCGTAGGGCACGAATTCAAGACTGAATTGTAAGTCCTAATAGAGAAAGGAAGCCTCAAATTTTTCATTTTTCGGAGCCACAGAACCATTGCAGCCAGCTCACTATAAGCTCCATATGACGAAAGAACCATATTTGAACAGATTGTATCAACAGCAAGCCCTTGGTCCTCCATGTTCTTCACAACTTTCAGCATTTCTTCAAAAAGTCCTAATCTTCCATACCCATAAACTACAGACCTGAACTCGAAAACCGATGGTTTGAGTCCTTTAACCATCATTTCCTCAATCAAAATGTCTGCTTCCTGTGGTCGATCCATCGCGCATAAACCCCCAACCATCGATTCAAAAGCCCGGCGCTTAACATAAACAGAGGAAGAATTACGAAGAAGCTGATGGAGGTAACTGTAGGTACTATCAAATCCATGCTTTGAACTTAGCTTAGAGTGTGATTCAAGCAACTGGCAATGAAAAAGAGCAAGCTCCCGTTCCCTGGATCCTAATTTGGATATGGTTTCGGAGATTAGAGCTTCAGATTGGCTGTGCAGGCCTTGCTTGTCGAGCAGGGCAGCAAGGGATGCCACCAACTTGGGATTCCATTCAAACCAAGACTCTTCTGTGATTTTTGAGTACAACTGCAAAAACCCAATTCAAAAACTTAGCTGAAATTGTAGAGCTGAAAAGTAATTACTTGTTTGGATGCTGAGAAAACAAAACCAACCCAAATGGATAATTGGATTTTGTTGGAAACCCAATTAAGACATAGCAAAAGATTTAGTTTAGAGAGAGAGAGAGAGAGAGAGAGAGGGAGGGGTGTAACTTACAGGGAAGGCAAGGGAGGAGAGATGGGGGGGAGTGGAGTCAGGAGAGAGAAGATAGGAGAGAGTGCTGAGAGCAATGGACTTTGGGGAACTTGATAGGAATTTGGATATCAATTTGTTTGTGAACTTGGGGTCTCTGGCATTAGCTGCGAGCTTGGTCAGAAAGCGTTGGCCTTGTTTGGTAAGTACGCATTGGACAGATGATGCTAATGGCGGCGTCGGCCGTGGTTGGTGGTGTTTCCACGGCGATGCTATTGAAAACGACAGTTGTCCGCTGCCAATGCCTCCCAATGTTTCCATTAGGCTGGGGCTCAGCATACCAAAGCGGCGACCCAGTGCCCGCTGCGCTGTGTTATGGCGAATGGCGTGGAGGCTCATCTGGGCTTATCATTTGATTGGGCTTTTCATTTGATTGAATCGAGCTACAAGTCCTTTGCGTGAATTCTCATATTTTTTTTTTACTTAATTATTTCGACAAATTTCGAAAAATAGTCGATGTTTGAATGTTATAACTTTTCTTCGGGAAGGTAACCGATCAAGTTGGAGTTGTTGTCGGGGAGGGTGTGGACTGTGGAGGGGTGCAGACGAGTTGAGGCAGTGGGATTCATATACTTTTCTTTAAAAAAAATTGTTTTGTTAAAATTTGTAATTTTAAAGTTTAGGGCAAATGGGAAGCACACATAAACGATTAGAATTTTTTTTTGTTGGGTGTTTGTACACATGGCACAAACTTGACAAGCAAAATAATGTTGTCGTTGGCATACCATCACTTAAAAGCCAAATCAATATTTTGACTAACATACATATGATATTGTAATTTGTAACTAAATTACAAGTTTATGTATGACATTTTAATATTTGAAAATGAAGTATGAGATTGCAATTGAATCCAAACTTGAGACCATAAAATGCAATTGCACCCTTTTATGTGATATAACACGTCCTTACTTATATTACTCATTGTATATAAGACTTTTTCTGTTGCGTGTGAGAGAGTTGACACATAGGGCAACCTTATACAAGACTCTCAGTAGCCATGTTACAGCCTTGAGGAGGCTGCTCGCGAGCGGTTCGCTATAACAAAATTTAAGTGCAACCGAGTGTATGTATCTCTTACATCATTGTTTAAAAATTTTGCTTTCTTAATTGTACGCGCCAAATGCTTTCATGCAATTAAGTTATAACTTTCGAGTGACGCTGTCCTTCAATGACTCTCATTCGGAGAATGATTCTCGGCAATGCAAACGGTGTCGTATTCCGACTCATCACTGTGCCTCAAGGTCTCCGTCTTCGTCCACTCGCCATCCCCATATCCAATCCTGCGTCCGTACAGTCCTCTCGTTTTGCCTCAACTTCGAAACCCAGAAGTTCCACTCAGACCCGAGACGGCAAAAACTTCTTCGCATTGAACAAAAGGATCTCCCATTTGATCCGAACCGGTCACATAGCCCAAGCCAGGGAAGTGTTTGATCAAATGCCTCAACGAAATGTGGTGACTTGGAATTCAATGATTACTGGGTACGTAAAACGCAGAGAGATGGTGAAGGCGCGCAAGCTGTTCGACGAAATGCCTGAGAGAGACGTTGTAACCTGGAATTTGATGATATCGGGGTATATATCTTGTCGCGGGAGTAGGTACATTGAGGAGGGGAGGATTTTGTTTGATGAAATGCCAGAAAGGGATTGCGTTTCTTGGAACACAATTATTAGTGGGTATGCTAAGAACGGGAGAATGGCTGAGGCGTTAGACCTTTTTAATAGAATGCCGGAGCAGAGTGTTGTTTCTTGGAATGCAATGATTACTGGGTTTTTACAGAATGGTGGCGTTGTGCATGCGATTGAGTTCTTTGAGAGAATGCCAGACCGAGATGGGGCTTCTCTTAGTGCGCTTGTTTCGGGGCTTATTCAGAATGGCAAACTGGATGAAGCTGCGAGGATAATTATCGAGTGTGGGAATAAGGATGATGGAAGAGAAGATTTGGTGCATGCTTATAATACGTTGATTGCAGGTTATGGTCAGAGAGGACGGGTTGAAGAGGCACGAAAGCTTTTTGATCAAATCCCATTTTCACACAAGAAGGGAAAGGAGGGCAATGGGAGATTTGAGAGAAATGTTGTGTCATGGAATTCGATGATTATGTGCTATGTGAAAACTGGAAATGTTGTTTCTGCCAGGGAACTTTTTGACCAAATGGTAGAACGAGACACCTTTTCGTGGAATACCATGATCAGTGGCTATGTTCATGTGTCAGATATGAAAGAGGCCTCTAGCCTCTTTAGTATAATGCCAAATCCTGATGCACTCTCATGGAATTCATTGATCTTAGGCTATGCCCAAATCGGTTCTTTAGAACTGGCTTGTGATTATTTTGAGAAGATGCCCCAAAAGAACCTAGTCACTTGGAACTCCATGATAGCAGGGTATGAGAAAAATAAAGACTTTGTAGGAGCAGTCAATCTCTTTTCTCGGATGCAACTCGAAGGAGAGAAACCTGATAGACACACTTTGTCTTCAGTTCTCAGTGTGAGTACTGGGTTGGTGGATCTAAGTCTTGGCATGCAGATTCATCAGCTGGTGACAAAGACGGTTATTGCAGATGTGCCAATAAACAACTCCCTTATAACAATGTATTCGCGATGTGGTGCGATAAAAGAGGCACAGACTATTTTTGATGAAATGAAACTGCAGAAAGATGTGATCTCTTGGAATGCAATGATTGGAGGCTATGCATCTCATGGTTTTGCTGCAGAGGCTTTGGAACTTTTCAGTTTGATGAAGAGGTTAAAGGTGCAGCCTACTTATATAACATTTATCGCAGTGTTGAATGCATGTGCTCATGCAGGATTAGTTGAAGAAGGCTGGAGCCAATTTAAATCCATGATTAGTGAATTTGGCATTGAGCCAAGTGTTGAACACTATGCCTCCCTTGTGGACAACATTGGCCGGAATGGGCAGCTTGCGGAGGCCATGGATTTGATCAATAGCATGCCATTTGAACCAGACAAGGCTGTATGGGGAGCATTATTAGGTGCTTGTAGAGTGCATAACAATGTAGAGTTGGCCCGTGTTGCAGCTGAAGCATTAACGAGACTCGAACCTGAAAGCTCAGCTCCATATGTACTGTTATACAATATGTATGCTGATGTTGGACAATGGGATGATGCAGCAGATGTGAGATTAATGATGGAAAAGAATAATGTAAGAAAGCATGCAGCCTATAGTCGAGTTGAGTCTTCCAATTTGTGAGGATTTCCTGAGCTGATTGCATGAAGTCAGTTACTCAGAACCTCGGACCGGAAAGACAGCTGTGGGCTAACTGGGTATGAATCGGGTTATGCAGACGCAATGAGCTTCGATGAATAGTATGAACACTTTTTCAGGTGTCAATCTGCTGGATATGAAAGCATACATGTTGCTACCGTAATGTTTAACAAGACCTTGCTGTTTCTTCGTATTTGGCGTACAAGTCAGAGTAACTGACATAATTTTGAGATCGGTGACGGAAACAGGTGAGGAGCGGGTACATTGTTAATTTAACCTCTGCCAAGTCCTCACCGGTGAAGTACGGTAAATATGTTGTCTATCTACTCTAGAACCGTGGAAGTTGACATACTGTATTTTCCTTTTACCCTCCTCTGGATAGGATCTGCGGTCTCGTGGGAGAAGCAAACTTAAAGGTGTTGTTGATATACAGAAATGCATCCAGAGAGTTCAAGAATGTTTTTTGTACTCATCAAGAGATGGAAAAGTCTAATGGGTCTCGGGTTTTGTTAACTTCGATACTGCTCAGAGTAATCTGGCCATAAATTTGTGTTATAGGAGCAGTTTTATGAAGTTTTCACCGGCCAGTCAGCTGTGTATTTGCTATTGTACTTTAAAATGGCATCAGAAAACGAGGTTGATAATTACGGGGCTTACTCATTTCTGTACGTCTTAAGACGAGAGAAACTAACTTCAAGAACTGAAGTTAAAAAAAGCCTAAACCCCAAACCATCTTAAATAGGGCCTAAAATGTAAGGCCTAGGCTCTGCCATTCCCCATTTGAGAGGGCATAGGCCTTACATATAAGGCCCTATTTAGTAGGGTTTACGGTTTATGTTTTCTTTTATGTTACGTGTTCTTGCGCAAGCCGAAAATTGGTATACTGTAACAGAGGATGAGATCCTTTCAGCAAGTGACTTGATTGGAGGCTCTACAGATTGTAATGATCTGTTAATCCTTTTGTAGCATTTTTGTGACTTGAAAATTTTCAAAATGTAATGGCTCGTTGAGTCTTTCCAGATGCCAATGAGCAAACTTACATGATAAGCCCATCCAGTTCTTAATGCATGGTGGTGACGTTGTTGGTGCTTTTTTTTCAAATGTTTGGCTTTTTTTTTGCTTGTTTTGTTTCAAATTTGTTTGCAGTGCCAAGTGCTGATGAATATACTCGACTTTTTGATGTATGCAAGTACAAATGGGATGGATCATCCACTTGATTGGTGACTTAGGGCTGGTTTGGTATTGCTGTGCTTTGAAAAAAAGCTGCTTCTGCTGTACTGTGAGAATAAGCAGCTGTGAAATAAAGCAGCAGAGTGTTTGGTAAACTTTTTTGTAAAAGTGCTTTTGAAAAAAAAAAGGCAGTATTAGAGTGTTTGGTAACTTTTATGTAAAACAGATGTGAAAAAAAAGCCGGTTTTTTTCAAAGCTGGTTTTGCAGCTTCTTGTTTTTGGCTTTTTTTTCATCCAAAACTGTGAAAAAAAAGCTGAAGCTGAGTGTTTACCAAACACAAAACAGCTCCCAGCTTTTTTTGATAGCAGCTTTTTTCAGAATCACCTCAGTACCAAACCAGGTCTTACAAGTGGGAATTAGAGTTGATATGTCTTTCTAAGCCCCCGATATCGCTTAGTGATTCGGGTGGTTCTTGGACTTTGCAGGATGGTCTATAAAGTTGAATAATGTGGTATGCTAGTCAGGATGATGATGAATATATTTCCGAAGATGATATTTTTTATGATGATGATGATGATGACGACGACGATGACGATGACGATGACAACAATGACAATGATGACGGTGACGAAGATGATGATTTAGATGACCATGTTCATGATAACTATGTTCACTGCAAAGGCAGAGTGCAAGCTTAGATCGTACCGGGGAGAACTTATCTCCCGGTCGGGACCTTGTAGAACTAATACTGACATTTGAGCCCAACAGTGATGATTCTTTAGGAGATGAAGGAGCCGTCGCTAGCTTGGATGATTTATTTAGTTGAGTTATGATGGCAATGACGCCTAGGAATTGTTGGGAGTAATTGCAAATAATTGGGGATCAATTTTCTGTTTTGGAAATTTTCATGTTACTGGTTATCTTATATTTCATGTTTTCTTATTCATTTGTGGTTTTCTAATATTTTCGATTTATGCATGAATTTGGAGATTATGTATTTGTTTTCTGTATTAATCTAGCGTTCCTAAGCATGCTTTTTGTGTCTCACTTTAAAGAGTTTAAGAGTGGATATCATTTTCTTTTTCCATCTTGAGTGAACAACACTAAGGTCTAGTACGGAGTCTAGGATTCCATGGGGATGAATAATTTGGGTTGTAGGAAGAAATGAAAAAATTGTGAAGGTGGACAATGGATTATTCATTAAGGAAAACTTATCGATTTCAATTCTCTTCACAATGGTAAGATTAGAAGAGATATGTTCTATTCATATCTATCCTGTTTTAACCTCCGCATAATGAAAATCATTCACTTGTACTTAACAATATCTTAAATTTTATGAGTTTGTCCAATTTATTTCAATCCTAAGCATCAAACGAGCTCTAAAGATTTTAGCAGATGAATTATATCGATAAGTTATTTGGACACCCCTATCACATTTAAAGACTTATCATTAAGAAACCAAAGAAATAAAAAAAGTTAGTGACGGCCGCTCTTGTTGAGTGTAACCGAAAAAGAAAGAGCGACGAAAGAAATTTCCTTTAGAACTAGGTCATGTGTTTGACATCCCCTTCTATAATATCATTTGTATCAATAGATAAAAAAACGAATAAAACGCTTGTAGCTCAAATGTTTAAATAAGTTTGACACTTGAAATTAGATATTTAAAATGTCATATGAGCCCGTTGGGCCTCCAACTCTAACACAAAACCTGACCCAAACAGACCATCAGGTCCAGCCCAGGAGGAGCTAAAGGATGCTAAATCCTCACGTCCACGTAACTCCCGCGATATTTTATTTTTTAACGACGACTTTTATCAAACCTCCGACTCGACTCACTGAGTCGCCATCGATCTTCATCGTCTTCGTCTGAGATTCTTTAATCAGCTGCTTTCTGCAGATTCCCATGGAAGCCTTAATCAGCTCGGCTTCTCCTACAATCACGTCGTCCGCTTCTTCCTTGTCCGTTTTCTCCCCCCGAAAGTCCCTCCCTTCACGGCCCTTTCAACTCGCGCTCGCCTCCAAAGGTAAAATCTTCCTTCCATTTCCCTCTTATACTTCGTTTTGTTGCCAATAATCAATGAAATATCGAAATTTTATGAGAGTGGTTTGAGATTCCGAGTTTCCTTGGATTTTCCGGCAACCAGACACGGGAATTTGTTGTTTTATCTCATCGGAATGGAGATTTTCGGTTTCAGGAAACGAGAACGAGTCCAATCCGAAATCGGATTCCAAAGAAATCAATCGCCTTCCGATTCTCAGCAATCGCCATCTCTCCCTCTCACCACTCTCCAAGGTACTCTCTCTCCCAATTGCATAAGCTTTTATTTTTGAAACATTTATTTTGTTTGGATAAATTGATGGAGGAGATCAGGGAATGATCAGAAACCAAAATATTCATGCGAAATCTATGTGTTTTGTCATAAAATTATGCATTTAATAATTAACTAACTTGTCTAAGTGATTGAGGTGATGATTATTTTGTTGTGTATAAGCATTGATTGTTTATTTTGTGTTGAATGAAAATTGATTTGCCGAAAACATGATGTTAGGATGCGGCAATGGGACTGGTAATGGGTGCGGCAACAGGAAGAGGGTGGACTACAGGTTCTGGAATGGAAGGCCCTCCTGCCCCTGCTGGGGTTCAGACAGAGTCAAGCACAGAGAATGTCTCCACATTTCCCTGGTCTCTCTTTACAAAATCGCCTCGCCGGAGGATGCTTGTGGCTTTTACGTGTAACATTTGTGGGCAGAGGACAACGCGGGCTATTAACCCCCATGCTTACACTGACGGCACCGTCTTTGTGCAGGTAGTAAATTATGCTTTAATCATGGTGCTACATATTGACGGACTATTTTCTAAGTCCTTATTTTGTGTATTCGATATGATTTCAAATGGGGAAAAGTTAGGTAGGTAAGGGTGAAAAAATTGATTTGGTTAAGAACATTAAACAATGCAATTCGGGGAGGTGAGTATCAAATTTGGGGTAAACCTACATGATACGTTACTGAGCATCTTTTGGTGGTGACTTTGGACAAGTAATTCAAGATTTTTCGATAATAAACTATATTGTGGTTGAATTGAGCGTTTAATCGAGTATTGGGCTGAAGGAAAAGATATGGTTGATAAGAACCTAACTGTTATGTTTTGTTTTCTCCTGGTTCTGCAGTGTTGCGGATGCAATGCATTTCATAAGCTCGTGGATAATTTGAACCTGTTTCATGAGATGAAGTGCTATGTGAGTCCAGGTTTTAATTACAAAGGTAACGGATGGGAATCTGTTAACTTCAAGTATCTGGAGATGGATGATGATGATGCTAATGATGACATACTTCCCATCCAATGAGGTGGATTGACTGCTTCAGGAGTATGTATATTCTGCGATATTATGTTGGAACCATTGCTTAGTCTTCACATGTATATGTCACTGTCTAGGTTTATCCTTGATGTCACATTTCTAAAATTCAGCATTGTATTCTCTAGATTATTTACGGCTTAGTAAGAGATGTTTGAACGGCAGAAACGCTTATTAAGATGACTCTTATTTGGAGCTTATGTATAGTATTGTCGAACAATGTGCAAATCTAAATGCAATGCCTGAATTTTCAATGACTTCTTAAACTGTGGAATAATTTATCGCTTTTAGTATACTGTTGTGTGATTGTCTGCTGCAAATTGTTGCGCTATATATTTAAACGTGAGCAATCCCTTGTGGGTGCTGTCTTGAACTTAAGGTGTTTAGTGTTCAGTTATTTTCTATTTTTATTGCATTGTTTCTTTGCCTTTTATCCGAATGATTTCATTCCGACATCTACTTCTTCGAATGGATAAACCTTTTCTTGGTTGAGATCTTCCATCCTCTTTAACTGAGCAGGCTTTTCTCCTCCTCTTACCTTGCTCTTTTTCCATCAGCATCTTGACCAACTTTGCAAGATGATGTCACTCAATGGTTGCCCGGTCAATCCTTCGCGCAACCTCAACACCCAAACCCACTTCATTTTCCTGCATCTGGGAGTTGAATCACCGCTCTCCAGGCCTCCGCACAAACGCCACAATCACTGAATCCTTTCCCGCACAGAGTTCCATCCACAGTTGATAGAAATTCGTTCTATAGAGGTGAATATATTATATACTGTCAAAAGAGTTTTGCCAGCTAGAATTTTTCTTTGTTCGTGTACTTGCTTTCGGAAATCAGTTTGGGCGAGTTTTCTGGTGGCGGATAACAATAGTTTCACCTGTAAGATTGGTTATGTAATGCTCTATGCTCCTGTTTTATCTTGCACAGAGATCATTTCCTGAATTTACATTCGTGGAAAATTTATCTGATCAAAACTTTTGTTGCATGATTTAGTACAGACATGCAGAAAATGGGCAATTGAAATTTTGTATATAATAATCTTGTAACGTTATAAATACCAATACACAAAAGAAAGAAATATAGAAGAACACCAGGGTACAAACTGATTTTTACTGAATTTACCTATATATATGTTTGCGTCATCTCATTTACCGTGTAACCTGGCTGATTTTAACTACGCCCTGTCAAGGCGGACGATGCGGGTTCCGGCCACCCGTTGGCTTTGAGATTCTGGCAGGCATAAGCTTTATCTTGTTCTTAGGATTCTGGTGTGGATTAAAGGGCTCCATAAGATGAAACTTTATGTATTTATTTTTTCTGGGAAGAAAAGGTATTGCTGTAAGTTAGAATTCTGTATAATTTGAATTCTGACTAGGGAGATTCCACGCAGATGGTGTTGCTGGTTTTGTGAGGAGAAGCCCTTATCATTAGGCTCTGAACGAAGGCAATCATCTGCACAAATAAATAATAAATTAAATAAAAATATGAAATGAAAAATTCTACTTGTCAAGAAAATGCATGGGAATTATTCTTACCGTTGCAAGGCCAATGCACAGAATACTGAAGCCAGGGAAATAAAATGGTGCTTCTTCAGACAGGAATAAAGCTGGATATATATGTATATTTAATAGGACAAATTGGTCAAATTTTGGATTTACAGGATTTATCTACCCAAAAATCACAAGTAAAAAATAATAAATGATAAATTCTACGAATACCTGTCAGAGGACTGAAAATTAATGGAGAAACAATGTTGGCAAAGGAGCTTATGCCTGAAATGCATCCTTGAGCCTTTCCCTGAACATGAATTTTGCTTTTTAAATTAGTCGATTAAAACGTGTATGAACATGAGCGCCTCTGAAATATTTGATAAAAAAAGAAAAAAAAAAATTGCAATGTTTTGTAGAAGCATTTCCAAGTGCTTTTTCAGAAAGCACTTAGGTTTTTAATAAAAATTCCTACGCAATGAGCTTACGAGGAAAGTGCTTCTTACATGCCCCAAGTCTACTAAAGTCCTTGGTAAATTACCTGATCATTGGGTCCAACTTGTTTTGATGCGATGCTGCGTATCTGTGAGTCAGAAAATTTTCACCGTCAGTCCGTCATAGTTCTTCAACTAAGATAGAGAAAAATGATTTTTACCAAGATTAAAGCAAAAACATACACTTGGCTGCACTAAAAATCCAAAAACAGAAAACAGAGTCGCAGCATAAGGAACCTGCAACATTTGAACATCTCTTTCAACGACTTTATAAAACAAAAGAAACGTAAATATGTGAAGAAACAAGTACTGAAGGAAGTTGGCAAGTTCAGCAATGGAGGATTTACCCAAACTGCCCATGAAATGCTGTTAAGAAACATCTGCACAAGGCCAGATCTAAGAGTCAGAAATGTTTTTGAATCAATGATTCGATATACAGTGAGAGCTATGCTATAGGTCATCTGTAGTTCACGTGCGCATGTGTGATTTATGACTGTAGGTCACTATGGAATCGACATTTGGTCATAAATCACATGTGCACATGGGTAATTTCTAACCATAGATCATTATTGGACCACATTCGACCTATGCTCATAAGTCACACGCTCATGCATGGACGACTGATCTTAATAAAATCCTATGTTACGATCTCAAAATCATGAGTTAACACTTGACAGTGACACATTCAATTAGAGGATCGTAAGGAAGAGTTGAAGCAAAGGCACATACATTCATACTGCCCATTATGAGCCCAATTGGAAGCAACTTTTCCTCTCCAATAGCAGTTGCCAACATTGGCATGAAAAGCAGCTGCAGAAGTCACAAACAGAAAATTAAGGAATCTATTTATAAGAGGTATATAAATATACATGTACATATATATATATATATAATTATAAATATATGTACATGTGTGTGTGTGTGTGTGTGTGTGTGTGTGTGTGAAATGTAGCAGCAGAAGGTTGGGTATTGCTAGCCTGTGATATGGTCCCCGATATCCCAATAATCAGCATTAGATCAGCAAACTGATTCTTGTTGAAGTGGAAACGAGCCTTTAAGAAATACTGCACGGTAAAAACTGAGGTTAAAATTTGGGTTTCGAGCAACTAAAAAGACTATGAAAGTTGGAAATTAGGGTAAATAAAATTGTACCATTAATGAAGCTTGCATGCCACCCTCTGCCAGGCTCTGAAAGAAGGAAACAACTGCTGCTTGTGACAGAATCTTACTGCAACACACAGGGTTTAACAAGTTATCTTAGTAAGATACGGGATTTTACTACATGTGATGATATTTGACACAAATTTTACAAAACTCTTACCTACTCCTCAGTAGGGAAATCAAATCTCCTGGAGACGGAATTTTCTTAAATACTTGTATCGTTTTCGGCGAGTAGACATCGCCTTCATCAACAACTTCTGGTACTCCTCCTTTCAAGATGGGCTGCCTCAAAGTACTATCATCGCCCGTCAAGCTCTCCTTGAGAAAAATTCTCATGTAGATAGTTGAAAGCATTGATCCAAAGGCAGCAACCTAAGTCATACATAAACAAGAATTGAATTATTTGAATTATCACGAAGATTAATAGGTATAGTAGGACTTATTGGTGCAGGTTGGGAATGAACACCTGAAATGTTAAAGCAGTGGAGAGGAAACGAGCTGCTAAGGTTCCACATACAAATGCTGCTGAGGTAAATCCAGCAAGAATTCCAAATGCAGATATTCGTTCTCTCTCTGAAACATTGTCGGCCTGGAATTAATGCAGCAATTATATACGTCATTTTAGCAATGAGAGATCAAATTAATGCCCCTCCTCAAAGTATGCCATGACTCATAACTAATGAAAAACAAATATGCAATAACTTGTTTAATCATACATCATATATAGTTAACTTGTTTAATCATGCAATAGTTTGTTTTAGGCAACTAACTGACTCTAGAAAAACTTAACACGTCAAAGAATAAGATAACAATGTATATGAAGCTAACACTCTCCATTTAAGTACAATTTGATCCCTACACGTAAAACTAGAACTATTGATACCACTAAATAAGCGCTAGATTCTCAAATATGAAGTTGCTCAATTAATTAAGACCAACATTACACTCAAGTTATCAATTACTTGAATAGTACAATACAAGCGGTTTTAGGGACTGCATATTTAGACATACCACATAAGCAAGGGTGAGGCAGTTGATGCTGCCTTCACCTACCAAGGCAGTTACTGTCCTCAGCACATAGTAGGCATAAAAGAAGCTTGTCTTCCTGCTATACGCCAATATCGCTACCAAAAAAGAAGACAAAGAAAGGGCATATTATCAGTGCTATCTTCTCACCTACATTAATACTTGGAGACAAGAAATTAAAAAGTCAGAGAGCATCGCCGCCCACCAAAAGTGGACAAGAAGAACACAATTCGAAACAGTGAAAAATTGAGGGATTGAAGTTTGACCAGTATACCTACACCCCACAAGAAAGAAAAAAGTCTAGTCAAAACAAATGTGTACGAGTTTCTTATCTAATATATTGAAATGGTTATTTATGTACTTTTCTTTTCACACATTTTTTTTTTTTGTTAATTTTTATCATTTGATTTTTTTCAATTCATTCAATTTGATGATGAAAAACTGAGAAGAGTTTGTGTAAGGTTAAAAAAAAAAAAAAACGTGTGAATATCATCATCCTTCTCGAAAATGTCAAAAACTATTTTAATACAACTTTAAAAATCACATCCTATTATCAGTTCATTAAAGTCGTACCTTGTGTCGCATGTTTGTATTCATTTGTTAATATCAACCATTAAAACATAAATTTTGTGCTTAACAATATATTCAAACTGAGTAGTTATTATTAATATAGTGAAAAGGTGGAACATTCTTGGGTCCAATAATATTGGTACCACGATTAACATTTTTGGATCCAATAATAATATTGGCATCACGATTACCATTCTTGGGTCTAATAATATTGGTACCACAATTAAAGTATGAAAGTGAAATGAAACGTGGTGGGCGCATGCAGAAAAGGCTTGCACTAAAGAAACATAGCTATCATCAAGCAAAAGAAAAAGGAAGAAAATCAGAGAAACCACACACATGCAATTACGAATTAGTAATTAGTGGAATACCAACCTAGCGGGACAATGGAGAGGGTCATGGGGATCGTGAGAAGAGACTTCCTCCCATACACATCCGACAAATTCCCAATTAGTGGAGTCATCACCACCGTTCCCAAACCTATTATCTGCATCCAACACACACGCTTATGCGCATTAGTTTATCACCAAATCTCCTCACATATATAATACTAATTCGACTATGTATAATTAATCTTAGAGACTATAAATATGCACGACACACGTTTGTGTTGTAATACTGTGTATTTGAACTATTAATTAAGTTCACTTTTGTCTAAATGTTGCACTGAATCTTGTAATCGACAGTCCGATTAACAATAACCTTGTTTGCCAAAAACAAGTAAGGTCTTTTACAGCGAGTTAAGAAATTTGAGTTGGATTTCTACATACTAAATTTTAAGTTGGATTTCTATAAATTAGAATTAAACTCGCATAGTAGATTGAAAAATTTGAATCTCATAAAAGTGAGTTACGTTGTTTAATTTTATAACTTAGTAATTTAATTTCTACGTAATATGACTCTCACAACTATTAAAATCGCACAACATGACAAAAACATTGTGGCAAAAATTAAACTCATACAACTTAATTTCTTTATATGAGAATCAAAATCATATAAACTAGTGTACTACTAAACGACTAAAGAGGACATAACTCCCACGCATTGTTGTGATCTATAATTGTTACCATTGCTTTACTCCTCAGTTCAAGATGGAGGCCCACCTTTGCATGACCATGGACATTTAAGACACATACGTCGCTTCACTCCTCAATTCAAGATGATACCGACCTTAAAAGACCATACATATAAAGTGAGTAAATTATTCCTTCGTATCCGTAAATAATCTCATATAATATTTTTAAAATATTATAAGTTTATACTTAAACTTCTATTTTAGTTGTAATTTTATACAATATCTTTAACTCCCACTCTTTTGTTGATGTGGTAGTCAATAATATGCCATATATAGAAAATATTTTTTTATAGAAATGTTATCTAAAATTAAAAAAAAAAGTTTTGATATTAGCCGAGGAGAGAGAGGGGTAGCTGAGCAGACGAGGGAGTGGCAGTGGTGCGATGAAATATTAAATGAATTTAAATATTTATTAGTAATTAAATATTTTTTTCATAATGATTTGGTCATGTGGTACAAGTTGGCAGTCACTTCGTACAAATGTGAAATGTATGGTTATTAAGTTATCACTTAACAAATTTTATAAATGTTGCATGAAATTAAAGTGAAATAATAACTAACGTATCCGATTGAAATGTTTAAAAATATAATATAAAACTGCAATTGAACTCAAATCTAAAAAAGTAAATTATATAAATACACATACGTCCTAAGTAGTACTCTAAAAATTAAAATTGCAGCAGCATTAGGATTGCGACAGAGAATTGTTTGGTTGCTAGGACATTAAGTGCGGATGACGCTTCTTTTGTTTTGTATCTGATTAAATTGCATGTAATACTTAAAAGTAATTAATGCGCTCAAATGGTTAAATGTACGAACGACAATATACTGAAACGTATGGACATGGATAGCCAGTTTGGTGGGTATGAAGTTTAGTTGGGAAGATCTATTTAGGGTTTGCAAGCTTCAGTTCACGTACACACGTTTAGAGCAGTTGAGATAAAATCTAGCTACTTATATCCAGTTAGACCCACGCATAAAACTCTAGCTCAAATGGTGCACGCATCTGATTTACTTATCAGTTGAGATAAAAATCTCGCTATAAAAACAACAAAATTATTTTATTGAAATAGTAAAAATGGAGGTGAAAGTAATAAGGGTAACTTAATTGATATACTCTTTTCCTAAACAAGGTAAAGTTGAAAACTCCTAGCTAGTTAGAATCCATTGAACCCTACCAAAAAGTTGATGTTCTCTTTGTATGAGCTTTTTTTTCTTTTTCTTTTTCTTTTTCTTCTTCATAATGTACTTAGTAATTACTTTAACTATTTAATATATAAATTCTTAAATGTGCTTGCTGGAACTGATTCCACTTATTTTTTTAGTGAATAATTATTATAAAATGAATTTGCAACATACCTATAAAATTAACTAAGAAATTTTATGATATTATCGGCGGATTAAACTAAATATCATGATATGCATGAGAGAAAGAGCATAGAAAAATTTCAAGTATATTGATAAATACAACTAAATCAAAATCAAAACTTTATATGGCTCCTCTTCGATATCATCTGTGGAATTAATCAAATGAAAAAGGGAATTAAGGGACATGGAAGTAGAAATTAAGATACATGCATGTACATACCGCTTGTTGAAAACCAGAGAGGTAAATGGCAAGGGAGCACTCATCTTGACCAGGGCAAAGAGCCAGCATGGTGATATCAGTTATGGCTGGAATCACCATGAAGCTTGCAAACCCATGTAAAAACACTGTCATAAACAGATGCCTCAGTCCTCCAATGCCCTCCATCTCCATGCCTCTCTTTCTCAACTACTACTTCTACAAATACAGTAAACTTAAGCTTAAAAACGAAAAAGTAGTGTCTCTCTCTGTTAGTTTCTTAACGGTAATGGAGATTGAAGAGTGAACACGTTTCGCTGTGCCTTGCTTGCAAGCATACGCTTGTGTGTTTGCCTTTTGCTTTGGCTTTTTTACCGTGAGTGGGCACTGGGGAGAGAGAGAGATAGAGAAGATGGGATGTCGGCATATATAAATATGTATATATCTGAGTGGGAGGGGGAGTTGTGCTAAGGAGAGTGGGGTTGTGGGGATCTTAATTTTAACCGACCAATGAGTCAATGACAAAAAAAAAAAAGCGAAACTAAATAATATTTTTGGAGTTGGTAAGTTTGTTTGATTGTGGCAACAGGCAGAGTAAAATTCCTCATAATCTCTCCGGATCCAGAATGTGTAGATAACCGTAACTTGTCACCAGTTGTATTCTTTTATCATAAACAAAAAAAAAAAAAACTCAATTTATCTGACATGTGATGAAGAGTATCCAACAAACAAAACTAATTCATGTATAATTCAATGGGAAATTGGCAATATAACAGCGGAATTTTGTTTTGATGTTGTGTAATAATTACTATATAAATTTAAAAAAAAATTAAAATTAACCACACAAACTTCAAACTGTGTTACAATTTGGCACCTACGTTCACTTTCATTCAACTTTACATTGATTAATCCCTAATTAATAAATTTTAACGGTATGTGACAGTAACAGCATTTTTTTTCAATATCATTCTCATAGCGTATAAGATATGATGATTTGAGAAAGAAAAAAATGGAGAGGAAGTGCAATAGTATTTAGGGCGAAAAAAGTCGCATAAGCGCAATTTTGGCGAAAACAGGGTGTATAGAGTTTGATAAATACGTGTTGACATTAATAAATAGACATGTTATAAGAGAAAGAGAAATGTTAAGGGGTTTTTTTAAAGTAAGAATTTTCATGAATTCTCTATCATCTTACAGTTTAATGTTAATTTTCATGTCAACATTATAAAATATTGTGCAAAAAAACATGAGGTGACAGAGAGTCCAGAGAAAGTCTCACTTTTGAGACAATCACCTTAGCATTTCTCTAAAAAAATGAGACTCTCTACCACCTTCAGAGAGTGTCTCCTGACCATTTCTCCTTGTTATAATATTAATACATATACATGGTATAATAATTATAATTAGTCATTCAACACTACGATCTGATGATATTCCTCTTTACTTATAAGGGAGAGATCTTAGGTTTGCTTCGTTTGAATCTCGTAGATGGCGAATTCGATACCAAATTAGGTTGTCCACTGTGTGGTTCAGCCTACTCCCCATCCGCTTAATGTAAAATATATCTTTGTACTCAAAATAATTATAATTAATATGTAACACTACATGACGGTGTTATTAGGTTACGTTGAAAAGTTACCTAGTCAACTCAACTCATCTAAGAGCATCTTTAATGAGAGATGTAAAATGCTTCATAATAAACATTTTACATTTTTGTACCAGAAAATTCTTTAATGGACGAGATGTAAAATATTATTGACATAAAATCTAAGAATTTAAAAAAAAAAATTAAAAAATATATATTAAATAGAGTGACCTCGGTCACAACCAGTCCTTATAAAATCAAAGAAATAAGTTTTATAAACAACATTTGGTAACGTTCTATCCGAAACATGAAGGTTGTTAAATTGAAAGCCAGTACTAGTAATAGCATCTACCATGAAGTGTGCTTCTCTATAAACTTGCTCCCAGAAAACGGAATCAAAAGAGACGGCTAAGTCTTTGATATCTTCAATTATCAACTTAATTTAAATGTCAAGGAACACTGCAAGACCCTAAGATTGAATCTATCACAAGCTTAGAGACTCCCTCCACACAGATTTTCTTGAAGCCTCTACTTCTGATCCATAGTGCATCCCTTATACATCTCCTCTCTTGGGATAAAACCCACATTTACATTTTTCGAAAAAAAAAAAGAAAAAAGAATATAGTTTCCACATTTCAACTTCGCAATTTTGAATTGAGCAAGGTTGAAGTTGATCAATTGATAGGACACATAATTTGGACCCAAAAAGATAGGACCCATAATAATATAATTTATGACTGATGACTGTCAAACATAGTGACTAATCTTGTCCTGAATTAATTATGAATTATAGTTCATGATTGATGACTATCAAACAAACAAACTAATCTTGTCCTGAATTACTTATGACTTGTGATCTTGCATGAATTGCTGCTAGTTTTGTTTTTCTTTCAAAAGTAGGACATTCAAATTTGTAGTTTTTATTTTTTATTTTTTTTATTTTGGTTTTTGAACAAATAATCTTATCTACATTAAGGAGATGGTGAATTTAACCTCACAATCGGCTAACAGTAATATAATTCAAATTCGTATGTGGTAAAAATTGAATCTAAAATCTCAAACTTACTAATGAAAAGAAATATCATTTGACTGTGTTACTGAGTAGCATTATTAATTTCTGCATCAACTGTATACAAGACCAAAGCTTCCATAATACAACTGGTCCACATATAGGATATTTACAAGCGTCGGTTGGCTTGGCCAAACGAATTCACTGTTAAAGGTATACCGCAACGTCAGCTAAAAGATCCCAGCGGACTTGTCTGTCCTTTTGGGTGTTTGGGTCCTAAGGATGTAGGTGTGGCTCTGAGATTTGATTGATTCACCGATTGATTCACCACCAAGTATAATGTCCGGTATGCTTCAGCCAAAAGGGGATGTAGCTCAAATGGTAGAGCGCCCGCTTTGCATGCGGGAGGTACAGGGTTCGATCCCCTGCATCTCCATATGCTTAAGTATTTTTTAATTCAGATCAAAATGAAAGTTATTTTGCACCCCTTTGTAAGTGTGTTTGTTTTTAAATATAAAAAATTGAAGTGCACAATAATTTTTTAGAGTGCTAGTAGCATCTCTCTTCGGTAAATTTGGGCCAATATAGTTTATGATCTTAATAACTAATTATGGGTTGTTTAAATTTGGGTCAAAATATTAATTATCAATGGCTATTATGCCTGAAAACTCAATTAGAGGGTTGTGTATTCTTCTTGGCCTACAAATAAAAGGTGTCTATATGTGTATGCGAATTTTGTTTAGGGTTTGGGAAAGTCCGCTAAAAAAGGTCTCTGATGCCTAAGTTAGAAAAGAAGTAGAGAGAAAAAAAGAACTTGAGAGAGTTTTTAGTAAGTGACGTTTACTCCTGGGAGGGGAGGCTGCAGAGCATACTAGGCAATCCTTGATCATGCAAGTCATTCGCCGCAGACCTGCCAGCTAGTAGTCTTGAAGGCCTCTGTTAGTAAGAGAGCAAAAACGCCAAACATCTTAGGAAAGACTCCAAAAAGTTGGTGCCCTGCCGCCACTAGGCTGGGTATGGCCCAATAACATAACAGGTGGTCCAGAGAGCCCATGGTCTATTAGTGGCATAAAATCTCAATATCTTATGGTAGACTACGTCTTATTCACTTAGGGTAATTATTTGGTCTACTCACGATGTCAAAAGTAAAATCGTCGTATTGAGCATATTTTCCACATGTCCTTATGTAACGACCCGTCATGGATTTTTTTACGAAATGTCGAGGGCAATTTTGTAATTTCAATTTGGTTGGGAGATATTTTATCATGGTTGCTTTTTGGTCTTATTTGGTGTGCCAATGGGGCCCATCCTTTTGGCTTTGTCCCCCGGCCCACTCCCTCTTCCCCTATCCCACTCCCTGTGACTTCCCTCATCTCTCTCTTTTCTTTTCTCTCAGCTCCCTTTTTGCACCCTCTCCTCCCTCGAGCACCACACACATATGCATACACACATACAACAACAACGACCACCACCTTATGACCTTCCCAGACATGACCTTGAACCTAGGCCACGACCGTGGAGTCCCGATGCTTCGACAACGGCTACCCTACTTTTCATTATCGTCTCTGACGAGTTTCTCGACTTCCCACACGAGGGTAAGGTTCTAAACACCCTTTGAATAGTCTTTCCCTCGTCTCTTGTTGAAGACTAACTCATTCGTGCATGTTTTGGACGTCGAAACGAAAAACCAGTTCGAGGATACTTCCCTAGATTCTGGTGAGAACCCGAAACTTACAGGCTGCTTTTTGGCTAACTCTAGCCACGAGATAGGTATAATATTCTTCATTGTTCCTTGGGCTTTAATTTGGTATATTGTATGACTAGTTTTAGTTAAGATTTGGGGTTGAACAGAGCTTGGAAAGCTCCGACTTTCTTCTTCGTGGAAACCAGCCTGAAACCGGGTCGACCCAACCCACAAACCCATAACCCAATCCGTAGCCAGCCTAACCCAACTACCTGGTCCAAACCCAATTTTGACCCGACCCAAATTTGAACTGGATCCGACCCAACCCGGATGGAATATTCCTGTGTTGACTTTGACGAAATTTGCCTGGGACCTCTCTTAGGGTAATTCGATGCCCTGATTCCAAATATGCCCTCCGTTTTCTCAAATTCAATCATTTTAGTAGAGTTTTATTAATTGGTCCCTTTATGTGCTTAGTTACATTTGTTAGTGGCGTTTCCGTCTTCTTTAGATTGCATTACTCTTCGACGACGGAGTATCTGTGAGTGGACCCCTTCCAAAATGCATGATTTTATTACTAGAAATGCATACATGAAAAACATGATTTTATGACTACGTTTTATGAAACATTTATGAGTAAATCAGATTTTACGCTTTATGAAATATCATGCTTTATCGAATTTATGTTTATGATATTTATGAACATGGATTTATTGATATGATATTTGAGCTATTGAGCTTCGATGAGATATATTTTGGAAAGATTATGTTCATGATTTTATGTGCTTACTTAGTGGTTATTTATAGTGCGTGCCTACAGGCGAATGATACTTATATGACCTTCGGGCGGGCGATGTAGCGCCTTATGGCGATTGTGATACCACTATTAAGCACGCTATATATGATATATGTTTTATGAAGGTTTTATGGCATGGTAGGGTTTTTGGAAAACCTATTACTACTTATGCTATATGAGTTTTCTAAAGCTGGGGGTTAGTACGTTGATAAATAATTGTTTTAGCATTACTTATATATAAACTTGGTCCACTCATGTTTTGTTTTACGCCCCCTCAGGACTTAGAATTGAGGCCTACAATCCCAGCGTCAAGGCACTCCCACATCGGTATCTTCGAGTCCTCTAGGTGT